ATTTGACAAATATTTGATTCAATTTGATTTGATTCGATCAAATTCAAATTGATTCAAATTGATTCAATCAAATATTTAAGTTCAATTTGATTTGAAAAAATCAAATCCAATTCAAATTGCTTGAATATTTGATTCAATTCGATTTTGAGGAACCCTACCATCTAGAATCATCTAACTGATGTTAAATGAGTTTTTTAATAAACAAGATGCATCATGTGTTACTTTTGCTTTAACCTTATATTTTGTATTGCATTAACGAGATCACAATTTAGAATACATAGAGTTGGAAACTTTGCTTTTAATAGCTTTTGTTGAGTAGTAATTGATAGATTTCTATATTTCATAAGAAATTGGATTTCTTTGTGAACATTATCATCAAAGATACACCAATATTTTGTTGAGTACTCTTCAGTATTGGGAAATAGCGTGTGGTTATGTGAAATATTAAAAATACTATGGTTTGAGAATTTTGGAAGTAATTAAAATTTGCATTCTATACATATGGTTAACATTTTAATTTATGATTTCGATGTTTATTAATATCGATTAGTTTTTTTGATTAATAACGATTGCCAAATTCACATCCAAAACTATGATGCTTAATACTGCTATTTTCATGATGAATTAACCATTTCTTTATAATTGCAAATCTATGTTTTTTATTATAAGCTTCTATAATAGTGTCAGCACTTTCCCATGATTCAAAGACACAAAGGTTTATAACTGGATTATAAGGATAAAGTGATATGTCAGTAGTTTATTTGACTCTAATAAATAGATGCAAATGAAGAAACTAATAATCTCACCTTCATTTTCTGGGTTCAGATATATTTCATCTTCTAGGTTTAAAGGTGTTAAATTTAGATTCAAAGATATTCTATCTTTTAGATTCATAGTTATTATAGTGTTCAACTCAACATGTTCTATATTAGAAAACAATTAAATAAATATACTAGCAAAATCGATTTTTTACTTTTTACTTTTTACATATATAGAGTATTTATATATTATAATCACAAAGTATCATGAAAGAAGTATCATCTTGAATAGATTCTTGAATATACAATTTAAACATAGTTTTTGTAAGGTAAAAATGATTGCAATACAAAAAAAAGCAAAGCAAAAAATGTTTTCTAAATTTGGGATTTGATGATAACTATGTAAAAAAAACTGCTATGCAAAAAAAATGATTGTAACATAAAAAATAGTGAAGCGAGAAAGTTTTCTATTAGAGGTTCAACTGCTATGATCATAATGCAAAAAGAAGCTAAACTACACAAAAAAATGGCTGAAATACAAAAAAAAAAAAAACAAATTACTACAATTATGCTTGTTACAATATTTGTATACTTTATTGACTATTTTTTAGTCTTTTTTTAGCTGCCTCTATTACCAAATTATAGGATAAGTATCTTTGTATGATACAATATGAACTTGAGAAAAAAAAAATTTTTTTTATCCAAAGATTATTATTGTGTCATACAAAAAATGCAGTTTTCGTATAACAGAAAATTACACAAAAAATGCGTGACGTGATGCAGTATAAATATCACACAAAAATTTGTGACATGTCACAGTTTTCATATAACAGAAAAAGTCACACAAAAAATGCGTGATATTCTACATATCACGTGATTTTTGAGATTGTTACAAATAAAAACATGTAACAGGTTGTTACAAATAAACATTTTCTAATTTTAATTTATATATTTGTATATATATATATTATTATGATTTGTTAGTTTGCTATATAATAAAATCATATTAATTTTTTTCAGATTATAATTTAACAATTATTTTGAAAACTATATTTTTCAATGTTTTAATTTTTTCTTTTTTTTAGATTTGAATAATATTTGAAATGTAGTAGGTTTTAGCTGATATTAATATTCATTTAAAAATATTTTTTATTTATAATTCTTTAAGTTCTTTTATTTAAGTAGTAATAATATTCTAGATACATCTGGAATTTAAATGTGGCGTAATATTCCGTAGATTTACGATTTTTGTAATATTTCAGAGTATTACGTTGTA